ACATCAATACGACTCAACTATCAGACACATAAACAAGCTATTTATACAAGTCGACCTTTTAATTATCAAAATCTTCCCAAACCAATAAATGCTAATTCAGGTTAGAATGTTACGCAATCAAATATTGGCTTTAAAGTATTATTTTTTCATACTTATTAACTTTTGTGCTTGTTTTAGTAAGCAAACCTGTTGAACGCCCAAATTTTGACTAATATCATATTTTGTCATGGAGAGTAGCTGGGGTCTTTTACAATCTACACTGGTTTTTTAGATTTATATCCCTGGATATACTATATATGATGACACCGATTGGTTTTATATGTCACGTTTATAAATTGGGGTCTTTTACAAAATATCAAATAATAGATCTGGTAAAATATTCGGTATTAATCAAAGTGGTATTGTCAACAAGGGTGTATTTTCAATGATATGTTAAAGATTGAAAATTTTCTTAAATCAAGTTTATTATCATAATCATCAAATATAACACCATAAAATAAAGTTAATCCTTTTCTCTTCATCAAATAAAATAAATTTTAATATCTAAAATAAATTTCTGTTTTTGTAACTCGAATTTTCTGTAGAATAATTCTACCATTTTTCACTACCGCATATACCGCATGTTGTTTTCTATCAAAATACATTGCAATCTGAGGGAGTGGTGGGATGTATCTCATTGAAATTGTTTTCAACTGATAATGTTATCAAGAAACATTATCTTTTCTTTGTTGATCATAAAATGCCCTACATGAATGAGTTTTCTGCCTATTCGTGATTTCAACATTATTAAATTTTTGATTGAATACTTGCCCAAGATGTTTGGTGTTTAGTTTGTATTACTGTTGTTAGGCGAAACCATTTTGGCAATGGCGAAAGACGAAATTAAACCCGGCGAATCTCTGGCGAAACTGGCGAATCGGCGAAACCCTGGCGAAACTCTTGTATTCGAATCATATTAAAAAGAAAATTAGACTTAAGGCTTTTGAACTTATACGTAATTAAATAAACCTAGCATTGAAATTCAAAATCTTGATGTTTTATAGTGATACGGTGTAACGAATTAATTTTATAATCTTACCTTTTTGGTGTAATTGAGTATCTAACCAGTATCGTGATTGTTAAAGCCCTCGAAGGAGGCAGTGTGCATATTGACATGATGCTAATACGATACGTGGTGCCTCTGATGTCATAACGTAGGTTCCAGAATGTGTTCTCTTTCATATTAATCAAAATGTATAAACGTAAAAGTGAAACATTAATTCTAATAAACAGAAGAACCTCGTTCTCATAATAAAGTAACCTGGACATAATGATATTCTCTCCTTAATTTCACACCATCATTAAGTCTCTAATAGAAGTACTATGCCCTATGGAAGCCTTTTATTATTCAATCCACATAACTTCTAGTAGCGGTTGGAGCTACACTGAACGACCCTAGTGTCGCCTGTAAAAAATGGTAGCCGGATAGATCTGCCGGTTACATGTGATTTTGGATCAGAATTTAAAATTATCGTTAGCGTTATGATAAGGTAGATTTCAAAATGTTTTTAATTGTAACTTTTGATTACCGTATATACGTAAATATACGATCAACTCTATAACGAACTTCTCTATAATGAACTCTGGATATAACAAACCAAAAATTCTTAAATTTTGCATTAAATCTGTATAGAAAAAGTTATGGTTACTTAAGAAAACAGTAATTTTTGTATAGTGAGCTCTTTTTTTTTATGTTGAACCAATAGACAACAAATTGACAAAGATCTATTTACTTAAAAACTATGAAAAACATTTACGATATTTGAACTTATAAACCAAAAATTGTACCAGACGATAATCTATTTGAGTGTTCGAACGTATGTTTTTCATAAGCACCTTTTTGGTTTCTAGAAGTTTCTAGTTTTAAGATATCGTGATCATTTTTTTTTTGATAAATTTTTTTCAATCAAAAATTTTCATAGTTTTGAATATAATGTACCTATGTAGACTTTTGGTTAGTTGCTTCGACATGGTAAGTTAAAAGTGGAAAAAATTACTATCGTTAGGACAATGGTATGGTTCCGGCAATCTATAATCGCCAATCATGTGAAATGTTTCAATTTTCTCGTGATCGTGATTTACCAATAAAATCACAAAATTGGTATAAAACCATGGATGGTGCAACGAATGTACAACGGTACATTTTTTTTTTTTTATTTATCATTATATAGCGATAGATTTTTTTTGATCAATAAAAAATGAAGCGGGAAGGATACATTATTCTAATAAATTAATAAATTACTTCAAAATCTATTTGTTTTTCGACATTTTCAGGAAGACGATGATGAGTTTTATATTTATTAACAGCCCATTCTGCAATCCTTCCTTCTAAACCTCTATTGTAGGCATCTATGTATCTCCAGGATTTACATGCGAATTTTTGAATTTTTGACACAGGAACACTGACAAGAGCCTTAGGAACTTGTTGGAGTAGATTGGTGTAATTATACTTGCATAATTTTCTTGTCTCATGCTTTACATACCCCAATACCTCTATAAAATTACACTCACAATGAAATTTAGGATACCGTTCAAAAATATGTTCTTTTTCAAGAACCGCTTCTTCCAAAATCGATTTCTGTTTGTAGAAATCAGGTTGCTGTGATATTATTCTTCATGTACAACAACCTAATCTTTCTGGATTATCTTCCTTATTTTTTCAGCACATTTTTCACACACCAATTGAACACCTTCTGGTGGCTACAATTTACGCTCTGTAAGTACTTGCTTTATTCCTTTTGGCAACCCCCATAGCTTTTTTACTTCATAATCATTTGGAAATATCATTGGCTGTGTGGTTTTCTCTCCATTTTCGTTGATGTACCAGCCATCACGCAATTTAGATTGTACCTCCCAGAACCCAGATTCATTTTGTTGCGACCAATGCGTTTTTTGCCATCGCATTGTGATTTGTTGATTGGTCAAAACAAAAAACTCCAACGCATCCAGGGTGAAGCACCTCAAATATTAGAATTGCTTGTTGCACAAGTTGTTCCAACATATGCTCCGATTTCCAGTATCCGTCCAACTGTATGGAACGAAGAATGAATGCCTCCTTATACTTTATATGTAGATTTGCTCTCATTTGTTCATCAGACAGTCTTAGTAATCCATAGCATGGACAGAGGAAGGCTGAAACCATGATAGAGCGTCCTTCACCTTTCGGACATAAAATATCTTCATTTTTTCTGATCCATATTCTTCGTTGGCCATTATTCGCATAAAAATGACATCATGCATTATCTTATTAAATTTCAGATGGTAGAAAGTCAGCGAACACAAATATGAACACAGTTGACAGGTTTTCGGGTATGATAATTTTTTAGAAATAAATTACTAGTGGGTTTGGTAACTTACGATGATATTTATAAATTACTTAATTTTACAACCCTGATAATAACACGACCATGGAGGTTTAAAAAAAAAAATTTATTACCTGTATTAACTCTTTTTGACCAGGTTTAAGCTGAGGCTCTATTACGATTTCTAACATTTCGCCATCAAAATCTTTTATTAATTTTTTATAGGTAAACATTCTTTTAAGCCATTCCTCCCTATAAGCTACCACATCTGGCCTTTTATGCCCGTCATAATAAACCCCCTTTTTATTTTCATCATATCTGAACCCCCATAAATGCATGTAGGTTCGACACGTTCTTTCAGAAATGGTGTTTTTCTTAATTTGCCCTGACATTTGAGGAAATACTGTTTCTTCAATATATGTTTTTAAGGCACCAGGGGAACGCAACGCAGATTTTTGTTGATGCAACCAAGCTTGACAACTATCAGAAAAATCTTTATTTTTGATCAAGCTTTTTAACTTAGCATGCTTTTCTTGACGAAGTTCTTCTGTTTCTATATAATGATTACCCCATTTTCTAAGACGTTTTGCTGTAGAATCACTATTACCCCATATAGTTTGTGCAAGATGGATGCTTGCATCCATCTTGCCCCATCTGTCTAACAATAACTTTATATACCTACTTATACTTAGGAGGCATAAATGGTTATATATAGGTGCATTAGCTTTTGAAGATCTTGTAATTTTGCATTGTATATTAATTTCTTTTAAACGCATTTCAAGTTTTTCTTTAGCTTCAACAGGTGATTGTAAGTTATGATTAATTATTTGAGAGGGCGTTGGTATTATAGAAGGATTTAATGTGGAGGATCATATTAAATTTACTAATGACAAGACATTTGTTAATAATACCACAGAAGGTGGTTGTGGTGACTGTAATTGTTTTACAATATTAGCAGCCAGAAATAGATGCGACAAATCAGGTGATGTTTCAGCATTTAACGATGCATTAACTTTTTGCTTTTTTCTCCAGGCTGTTGTCCTCGAATTCCGGTATATGGTGCTTTTTTTGCTTCAGCAGCCTTTTCTTGTGTTATAGTAACTTCTTTTATAGGTTCAACTTGTGGCATTTCTTCTTCTGCAACTCTGTCATATAGCAACTCTTGTATTATATCCACGTCAAGTGTCATCTCATGCGATACATCCACATCAAGTGTCATTTCTTGCGATACAAAATGACCTCATTTTCTAGATAATTTGGATGTATATAGTTTTCTTTTATTAGAATGCGGCATTGGATATTAGAGTTAATTCAAGGTTATTATTAATACGTGAATTTCAATTAACAGATTCATTTAATATGAAGTCATCAATACCTCTTTTTATATTCCTTTAAGATTTGATTTAGCTATAATATATCAAACATCATGACATCGATTATGAAGAGGTCACAATTATGATAAAAATGATTAAAGTAACAAAGGTTTTTTTGTTAAGAGCTATACTACCTACAATCTGCATTGAGGTGGCATCGAGATAATTTTAAGAATATATGCTTGAATATTTTGTATGTTATGAACAATTATGAATATGCGATTATAGACTAATTGAAATTATAATTTTAATCAGTTTGTGATTGTATGTATATTCATAATTTTACTTGAGGAGTTATACACAAAATATTCTTCTAATATAATTGATTTAAGGCAATTCATAGCTGATACGCATAGTATAGGGGCTCCATGATAAATTAAAGAACGTGCAGACAATGGTTGAACTAACTATAGCAGAAATAAGATAAGAGCCTTTTGTTAATTGACTTTACCAATTTTTAAGAAACCTTCTGCAATTTAACAAAAGACTACAGAGTTGAATTTAATATCCAATTGCATGTAAAATTCAATGTTAATTGTTTTCATTAGAATTAAACATGAGCTTATGTCTGAGTAAAATGTGAATTGGCGACGAATTTGTTATTTTTAAGATCAATTTAGAACTGCTTTAAGGATTATAATGTATATAGCTAGCTTTTTAAAATTGCGATAGCACATTGCATTATTTGATCTTCAATGCTATTCATACTATTTTTGCGCGTTATAAAAACATTAAATAAAAATATCGCTATGAAACTTCAAAATATTAAATGTTTATGAAAATTTATTTAAATTATTAAATTATTTAATTATTTTAAAATTATGTACAGTACATAGTAAATTAAATATTTATATTTATATAATATGCTTAAAACCTCAAAATTCCAACATTTAAATTTCTAGCAATGTGGATTGAACGCATAGTATAATTTGGCCTTTAAGTCTTAGCAAAAGTTTAAGTCTTAGCAAAAGTTTAAGTATTTACATTATTTATTAAAGATTTTTGACATAACAAATTATTTCTAGTTTTTTGGCTTAAAAGAGTATTATTTAATCAATTGAGAAGAAAATATAAGCCAGAAATCTGCTTTATTCTTCAATTAGATATAAATGATATAAGCCAATCAAATTCTGCAAATCCTCACATAATTGTTTCAATTTCGCAAAATATATAAACTTCAAAATGCTAAAACTTTTGACAGAGACGCTATTTCAAAAAATTAATCGATAACTTTGTTCTTTGTAATAAGCTTTACAATGTTATTGTTTTGTTTTTTTGAAATATCTTGTTTGAAACAAGGCTTAGCATTTCAAAAATTTCTGATTTTTTGATCATGTGATTGGTGATTATAGATTGCCAGAACCATAGAAGATATTGCTATGATAATCAGATCCTAAATCACACATAACCAGCAAATCTGTCTGGCTACCATTTTTTGTGAGCAATGCTAGGGTCGTTAGTTACACTGCGCATTTCCTTGTGCGTCGCTTACTCAACCAACTGTTACAACGGGCCAATACCAAATGCTTGGGCCGACCCAGCCGACAAAATTACTCAGGCCAGTTAATCGAGCCAACCATATTATTCAAAATTTTTGGTCAAACCAAAATCACAAGACAGTTAGGTTAAGTGGCATGACTAAAAATCTTGCATGCTATATAGCATGCCAACTGCTAAAGCTTGTGCCAGGATGCCACCCTGGCATGCCATTAAACCACGCGATAATATACTCAATTGGGATTGGTCAGTTATTGTATACTATAAAATAACCTTTCGAAATACTTTGGAGCATTGCTCCAATGTTCCTTTCAGAATTTAGATTATTTTATTTTCTATTTGGAACCTTTCGGAATATATATAAATGGCATGCCTATAGGCAATCTGGACATTGAGCATGCCTATAGCATGCCACCATAGGCATGCCACCCTGGCATACCAATAACATCCGTGCTACTCACCCTAAAGACAGTTTTATAACATGATCTCCTATCAGAATTTTGGTCCAAATTGCCATATCCTAACAATCATGCTCATGTTTTATGTTGGTTAACTGTCTACCATTTCAAAAATTTCTGATATTACACTATCTTCGATTCTGACTTAATGCTGGCCAAATCTATGATTAGTTCCAATCTAATTCGATAACTTACCAAAAAGTTCTAGCAACTTACATCAACTATCACCATTCATAACCCTAACTTATCTTAGTCGGCCTACCGACTGATGGGCCGGAATCAGCCCATATCACTATTGTGCGATCTAAATTTATTGACATATGAATCAATAGCAATTGTGCATTTAAAGTTTAGATGTAGTGGTTTATTTCTTTTAAATAAAATAAAATAATGTTGTCTTTCAACCCAAATAGATATTTTCAGTATTAACTATTACTTAACACATCAATTATAGGATATGGAGCTTTCTGACGCAAATCTTATAAATCCCAACGAGATTACATATCTGAATTTTTATCAATTTATATTAATTCTATAAATCATATAAACAGATTGGTTGGGTGATATTATCAATGTACTTTATAACTGTTTTCAAAAAGATGTAAACAGACGCAAATAACTTATCATGAGAAATTACTTAGATTTCCAAAACTTTTAAAATCAACTCTAATCGGATCAATTTTTACTAATGAAAATTTCCCAATTCTTCAATTCCCACATAGGTATATGGAATCGTTGTTCACAACAGCCCTTTTTTATATTTCTTGTCAAAATTTATTGACAGTTTTTCCATAAATTTTTGTACAAAAATTTAATGAATTTTGTTGCTATATAACGAAATCAATAACTTAATCGAATAGGACAAAAATCATTTTTATTAGATGTCTTAGAATTTGAAAAGAGCAGTGATTTTTTGTGTATATTACTACCTGGGTGGCCTCTTTATACTAACTGGGTCACCTGTCATGGGTGACCCGGGTGGGTGACATTTTTATGTTGATCCGATTTTCACTCAGGTGGCCTATTGTTCACCCAACAGATAACCCAGGTGGAGATTTTTAGATGGATCAAATCACTAATACAGTACCATCTGTGAAATTTAAATTGCTATAATAATTTATAAGATCTTGGTCATATGATGAAAAATAACAGGACATTTTTTTTTCAGAGTTTATATCACTCCATATGCTGCGTAGCAGCACATGAGTGATATGAGCTCTAATGAAAAAAATTTCTTGTTATTTTCATATAACCACTATTACTGGCAAAACTATGTGTACAAAGAATCTAATAATCATGCAAAATTCTGCATGTTGGATACACAAAATCATTATGCAAATGCTATTGTACTGCAGTGCTCTAGGACTTATGATTTCACCACGACAATCATATGCAAGAAACCTGCTCAAGCCAAGTCCTACATAATGAAGCATCAAACATCAATCATATAAAAGCAAAGCCCTATTGAAGCGAAAGACACTTACCTGATTCGGTATGACAGCTGTCAAAGTAATATTACCTTGTTGGGTAAGGTGTGTGGCTGTGAATAATAAAAGCACATGAATCGATGGGAGAGTCAATAAAATAAATAAGCAAATTGATGGGTAAAGAATGATGATGGTACAAAAGCTTTCATTCAACTTATTTTCTTTTTGCCTTATTTTCATTTTGTCAAATATTTTAATAACAATAGCTGTGAGAAAGGGGTTGGAATTGAGTCAAAAAGGGTTATATAGCGTAAGTTCAATGACGATTCAATAAAAAGAGATGGGAAAAGCGTTTGATCTTGATCTTTTTCTTGATCTGTAAATTTGTTATAAATAAGAGGTTGAATTCCTCTTGTCCAATATAGAGAATTGATCTAGTGCATGTACAATTCATCCTATATCCAATAAAGTTGTTAATAAAAGCTCTTTAATAAATCCATGTTACAACGTTCTTTAAAAGTACATTAAAATACTTACTTAATGATACTTAGTAAACACTTTTGATCTGTGTCAAGTCAAAATCTGCCTCACCCTTCTACTGAGCATTATTAGTCGACCTTGTCCCTTCTTAAACGTCAAACTATTGTTTATTTTACCTTTTGTTGGAGGTGTAGTTTTGGTTGATTCGCCTCTGACACTACTATTTGGATTTCTCTTACCACTTCTGATTAGCTGTTCTAATTATTCAATTATTGGAGTATTTATATTTGTACGTGCTTAAAAAAAATTTCAAGTAAAAATTCATGCTGTTAGACTAAAATTAATATTTTGGCATTATATTATAATTATGAGACATTTTTTTATACCAAAATTTTACAAGAAAATTTTTATTAGTACGCAGAAGACAGTTTCATATATTGAATTTAGAGTTATGGGTGATTTTTAATTTTTGCAATTTTTTTGTTTCTTTTATATTATATCTGATTGTAAAATTTGATTGGCTTCAATAAATGAATAATTAGTATGGCCAATCAGAAGTGGTGGGGAAATTAAGGCACTCCCAATATTGATGTTATTAAGGATCTATAATTTTGGCATGTCCTCTTTTCTCAATTTGTTTATACAGTGTAATCTTATTTGCTATTTATACTTCTTTTGTGTATTTTCTCTTTCTTTTTTTTGTATTCTGTATCATGTTTGTGCATAAGATCGACAGCCAAAATTTCCTTTAAATCCATAAAAGGAATGATTTTTATCTGCCATTTTTATAATATACTTAGATACTAATATATGATTCGAATATGATTCAATGTTCGTTAAAGAACAAGAAAAAAAAAAAAATTTAAAACCATTTAAAATTCCTTATTAAACTCTAGTAAAAAAGCATATATTTTGTGCTTGTATATATGCTTTGATCTATGTTTGCTTTTGATTTTTGAGCTTATTTCATATTTTTAGTTTTTTTCTCTTCTGATTTTTTGCTGATATGATAAGTAGATAATCATTGATCATCAAAGAATACAATGAAAGAATCATGACAAAAACAATTTATTGATCATCTGATTTTTTGACTTATTATTTGCATTGCAAACTTAGCTGCTTAATTGACACAATGTTTATATGAATTGTTTATTATTTGCTATTGCAAGCCTATAGAAAGACTTTGTGTGATTGGCTGTTTTTTATATTATTTATACAGTTTAAAATACTTTTTTTAAAAAAAAAAATTATGAGGAATAAATACAGTCAGGGATTTTGCCAAATA